CAGCAACGATCTGTCGATAAAATACTGTCTGTTGTTTAGAAATAGTGTGCATCTTATAAAATAACTTGATCTTTCAATCAATGAAGTACACCGAAGTTAGTTATGGATTGTAGTTGATCGAAAGTATGGTCACAACAAAAATGGGTGATAAAACAGATTTGTCCCGTTCCACAGAGAAAATAATAGTTCAAAGACAGTTCAAGAAAGTGTATACTCTTGGCATACATATTGAACTGGTTCCCCTTAAGATGTAGGCCCACAGCCTATTGAGTCAAGTGCGTAGTTGAGAAATAATTTTGAAAGAAAACACTTTTTTTTTTTTTAAATAACATTTGAAACACGCTTTTCCCAAATATACTAAGAAGTTTCAAATAAATGTCTCCTTAGACTTCCGAGTTGTTATGGTCATATTAATTTTTTTTTTTAAAGCGTGGGACGCCCATGAACTCGATGTTCTTTGCTAATCGCAAAGACAAAGACACGCACGTAGCGGTATCGCTAATTTTATTCCACTTGTAAAGATCACGATTAATGTGAGCACGCAACAGAAATGCAAAGCAGTTTTGAGAGCCGATCATTCCGTGATTAAATAATCTGTAGCATATGTTTAGAAAAAGCGTTGTTATATTTTATAGTATTTTTATATTGTTTTATTTTGAACCTTTTTAGTCTTGGAAGACATAAAACACAAATATTATGTGCCAAAAATTGAGTTGAAAGATTTATCTCGCAGAGGTCATTCAATGGTCAGTGGAGGTCACTGGTGACCTACTGGTCATGGTGGGTTGTATTGTGATCAAGGCTGGGTGCTAAGCATCGTTATTTTTTTTTAAAAATGTAATCTGTGTTCAGATTTTGCTTGTATAATAAACAATGCGTAATAAAGGATTGAGAAAATCGATGTGTCAAGAGATCGATACAAACGCTAGTGATGCTAATAATTTAAATCTCATATGAGGGCGCACAAATGGGTAAAATCTTAGGGCACCCCGAGGGTGTTAATTCGGCCGTGCTGATCTCCAAATCAGACGTTAACTTAATTCTTGCCCGTAGGAAGCTAGTAGAATGTGTCATAAATAAGTGTTGTCTTTCGTCAATTTTTAGTCCAGATATTAAAATTGAATGTCTTTGTCACTTGAAATGTAAAACATAAATTTAATGATTTTTTCCCCATGTTAATTCCGGAAATGGCATTTAAAAAGAAACGCGTTGATCTTGTGAGGAGCTGTACTTAAATAGTAATGATTGTGTGGATTCGACCTGTAACTATGGTCAAGACGTACAAAATAACCCTTGGTACTAATGCGCCGTCAATTGTGTGCACTACATCTCAGATATTTTAGCTGTTATAAATGTAATGCATTAAACTTGATTTATAACAAATATAGAAAATTTGATGGCAACTGAATACACGTAATAAATATAAACACTTACTTGAGGTTTAAACTTGGACTAGACTCTCTAGTGTCCACTGATGACGTTTAGTTTAGCTAACATGGGACATAATTTACATGCGAGCCCTTAATAGCTTGACATTTATCAATGTGGCCCTCCGAACAAAACGTTTGCCCACCCCTGTATTAAGGAATTATATTTAATATATATATATGTGTGTGTGTTTCTGCAATGGGGTAGGATCACGAAGGAAAAAAATTATTATCTTTTTAGAGAAAAGAGCAAAATGGGTTGGTGCATATCATTTCCTCTTTCATGTCATTTGTTGTTGTCATGGTTTGGCTGAGTAACCATGGATCGGATGACGTCACCGTGAAGTGAGAGGAAAGAAATTATTCAGATTAAAAGCATCAATTTTATTTTAAAAACTCTATCATTGGGTCTGTTTTAATGAACTTACTGGAGTCGAGTTTAGAAACAACAAACAATATTTTTGAACTAACAGCATAGTGGTAAAAGTAGGCGGCAACCACGGGCACGCTACTCTGGTTTACACAATGGGAACGCATCCCATACCAAGATTTAACAACACTCAAGTTTATCAATACTCAAACATGACTTCCCAAGAATACTTAATTGGTAATTTTTTTGTGTTCTTTTTTTTAGGTAGGATATATGTATATATAGAGATTATGTAAATTTAATTTATTCTTATTTAATTGTTGTTGTTTTGTTGTTGTACTGATGAAGGCATGTGACGAAACTTATACTTTTTTTTATTAAAGCTTAACTTATATTGTTATATTGACACAAATTGTTCATGTCTAATTAATCTGTATTCTTTTAAGAGTGTTTAATTATCAAAGTTACTGGACGTCCACAATCATTGGATCTTTCTTTTAATCAATTTCTTAAAATTGTTTTAACTGACACAACAACTACTAATACAATCACCGGGCCGCCCACTCTTGTTTTAACAAACAGAATGTGTTTGATTATAGGAAGTCAAACTTTCAAGGTCTACAAATATCCTTTCGGTATGGACAAAAATAATGTTTCAATGTTATATCTCTCTATCATGTTCGTACACTACTAACAATCTGGATGGATGCTCCAAGAAGAAAGAATTGACTTATAAATCAAAAGGAATCTAGATAAGAAGACAGTCTATTACCGTGACTCATCTTGTGCGTCGTATATTACCGTGACTCATCTTGTGCGTCGTATATTGCCGTGACTCATCTTGTGCGTCGTATATTACCGTGACTCATCTTGTGCGTCGTAAGAAAAATGTTTAGCTGCGCCCAGGGTTACACGAAATATAAGTCGCTGTAACCTTCCCGCATTCTTTTTAAACTCATAAAAACGTTTACCAGATATAATCATAAAAACGTTTACCAGATATAATCACAAAAACGTTTACCAGATGTAATCATAAAAACGTTTACCAGATATAATCATAAAAACTTTTACCAGATATAATCACAAAAACGTTTACCAGATATAATCATAAAAACGTTCACCAGATATAATCATAAAAACGTTTACCAGATATAATCATAAAAACGGTTACCAGATATAATCACAAAAACGTTTACCAGATATAATCACAAAAACGTTTACCAGATATAATCACAAAAACGTTTACCAGATATAATCATAAAAACGTTTACCAGATATAATCATAAAAACGTTTACCAGATATAATCACAAAAACGTTTACCAGATATAATCATAAAAACGTTTACCAGATATAATCACAAAAACGTTTACCAGATATAATCACAAAAACGTTTACCAGATATAATCACAAAAACGTTTACCAGATATAATCATAAAAACGTTTACCAGATATAATTACAAAAACGTTTACCAGATATAATCACAAAAACGTTTACCAGATATAATCACAAAAACGTTTACCAGATATAATCACAAAAACGTTTACCAGATATAATCATAAAAACGTTTACCAGATATAATCATAAAAACGTTTACCAGATATAATCACAAAAACGTTTACCAGATATAATCACAAAAACGTTTACCAGATATAATCATAAAAACGTTTACCAGATATAATCATAAAAACGTTTACCAGATATAATCACAAAAACGTTTACCAGATATAATCACAAAAACGTTTACCAGATATAATCATAAAAACGTTTACCAGATATAATCATAAAAACGTTTACCAGATATAATCATAAAAACGTTTACCAGATATAATCACAAAAACGTTTACCAGATATAATCACAAAAACGTTTACCCGATATAATCACAAAAACGTTTACCAGATATACTCATAAAAACGTTTACCAGATATAATCACAAAAACGTTTACCAGATATAATCACAAAAACGTTTACCAGATATAATCATAAAAACGTTTACCAGATATAATCACAAAAACGTTTGCCAGATATAATCACAAAAACGTTTACCAGATATAATTACAAAAACGTTTACCAGATATAATCATAAAAACGTTTACCCGATATAATCACAAAAGGTTTACCTGATATAATCTAATGAGTTTTGTGCAGGTAGTGTTTCTATCAATCGAAGCAAATTCTTTTTTTTTTTAATGAAGAAGTTAATTGTCCATAGGGACCAAACAGTATTACAGTGAAGAGCCAATAGTCCACAGTGACCAAACAGTAGAACAGTGAAGAGCCAATAGTCCTTAGCGACCAAACAGTAGTACAGTGAAGAGCCAATAGTCCATAACGACCAAAAAAGTAGTACAGTGAAGACCCAAGAGTCCATAGCGACCAAACATTTAGTTTTAAAGCAATTAAGATGCGCATTACTCCAAGATAACGAACTTTCTTAATAGTATAAATATTAAAATATATTCATGTGTTTTTCTTTCACTTTGGGAATGATTTTCAAAAAAAAAACAGAAGAAAAACTTCTTATTTTAAACCCACTTAGATAATTTTCCAATAAATACCATGTACTGATTTCTAAAGATTTTAATTGTATTTTTCAAAGAACGTCATGGTCCACGGGAATCCTCTGATATGTCATAGTTCTCTTGTTACTGTAGGACTTTTCCTATTTCTCTAGCGTTTTGTTTTATCACTGCTTGTTGTCTTGAGCTTGACATAAAGATGAGTCATTGCCCCCAAAAGATGTGGTTTTAAGTTACAAATAAGTTCGAATGAAGCATACTATTATTATTCTATTAAATGTTCAGCTCTTCACATCATCCAATGATCGGAACATTTAGAAACAATTTAGAAGTTCAAGTGAAGTGAAATTGCGTTCTTTTGATCCAACTCACTTAATTACAGTTAAGGTTTACTGTTGCCACAGAAGAGGGTTGCAATTGAAAGTTTTAAAATAATTTAAAGAAGGTATAGCGATTAGTCATCGAATTTTTTCCTGCTTGAAACGAGAATGTTATCGATCAAATTAATTTACTTTACAATTTATTCTTCAATTAAAATAAGACGAAACAATCCTAATGCTTTCTTTTTTTCAGCTTAATTAAACGGTTATTTAATTTTTGTTTTCAAAGAATTATTATTAAATAAGAAAGGTAACTGAACGTTATATAAAAGTAATTATTTTATCATATGATTTATTAGTGAGATTAAATTATCAAGATCTTCGTATTCATATATATTTTATTTTACATTTCTTAAATGGTATTGTTTTAAATAAAGAAAAAAGAAAACATTACAAACAACACATATTTATTAATTTTAGAACAATAAAATTCAACCAATAATTACATCAGAAACAGACCCTCGCTCTAGGCTCTGGAGAATCTGCTCGAACAGGGAGATAATAAAAGGACGTGGAAATCTTACTACGGTGGACTTTGCCTCTATGAGTAAAGTCTCCAAGTTACTTTTGCTGAATTTACTCCATCGAGCTACGTCACTTCCGGTTGATGAATTTGCCGATGGTGGAGTCGGATCGCCATATTTGATAAAATTTGTCCACGTCGTCTGCACACGTTGTCCCACGGTCTTGTCCGAGTCGGATCTTGATGTCCAGTCGGGGTCGAAGAAGACGAACTGCCGCTCCTCAGCATGCACCACTCTCATCCAACTTGGTCGCGTGCTGCCGCTGGGGATGTAGTCAAACTCATAGAGGTAATGCTGGGTGCCCGGCTGGTCAACAATTTTGGTCAGTTCGAGTACAGACGGTGCACCGAATTGAAGATCAGCTAGAGCAGACACCAAAATGGCGCGAATCTTTATTGGGTCTGTCTCGTTGTTCAGATATGATGATTCCACTGTTTTTATTACCTGGCTATTCTGAACATAAGATAAAGTAGTTTCTATTTGTTTTGCAAACTCATCTTTTGTTATTCCATCGTTGTCCTCATCTTGAATACCAAACGACCATTCACCAGAATTGAATCCTCTCAGGGTGTCCACTTTGCTGTAGTTGCCGCTAGAAATCAAGTTGACCGGATAATCTGGAAGAAACCCATAAACTGTTTCGACCCTTGGTACTCCAAGAAGTGAGTTGCCCAAGCTTTTCTCCGTAGCATCAGCTGCTAGTAGTAGGCGACTGGCGTCAATGCCTTTCAGACACAGGAGCAGTTCAGAGGATGTGTTGCTGAAGCATCCAACACTGGTCGCTATCGCTCGTGTAGAGTCTTTGAGCTGTGTGCGTTTCCCTTTTCTTTCAACTGCCTCTAGGGTGAAGGAAGAGCCGCTCTCCATTATGGCCCTACGAAAGAGACCTTTAGACAGCGGTGAGACGCATTGCAATGACACGCTGAAAGCTCCGGCACTCTCCCCTCCAATGGTCACTTGGTTGGGGTCACCTCCAAATGACTGGATATTCTTCTGCACCCATTTCAATGCCAGCACCTGGTCCAACATGCCATAATTACCTGGCATGACGTCATCCTCGGTAGACAAGAAGCCAAAAGGTGAGAGGCGATAGTTGATAGATACGGTGACGATGCCGTATCGGGTCAAGGTCGAGGCATCTCCGTCATTAAATTGAGAACCGGCTTTGTAACCCCCTCCGTGTATCCACACCAGAACAGGAAGTGACGCGTTGAGATCCGGAGTGAAGACGCTTAGAGTCAGACAGTCCTCAGATTGTAGCCGTTGACTCTCTTCCTTTGATGTCTGTGGACAGATGACACCCGGGACCCTTGCATCTTTGACCCCTGTCCACTCAAGTGCGGCAACTGGTGGTTCAAATCGTCTCGAACCTGTAAATATTGAATGCTCTGATTAATTTTAAGTTTACAATGTTGACCAAAAAAAAAGCAGTAATGTTTTTATTGAATAATAAAAATACAAAAATTGCATCTTATGTTTCAGACATTTCCCCAGTTCCAGGCAATCATTTCATAGGGATTTTTTAAATAAATGATTTGAATTACGACGACCTCGGACGTTGTGAATCATTTCTCAAAGTATTAAATAGTAAATATAATTTTTAAAGAAAGAAAGAAACATCATTACACTAAAACAGAGGTTGCTTCAGTTCCAGAATGCTACACACAGGCCGCCACTTGGCTACAGGTATGACGACATCGCATTTTACTATAACCTTTGCCAACATATATTATATTATAACGATCTCCACCTACCTATTGGGGGCAGGGCGTAAGGTATCCCATAAAACCTGTTCACGGACTCCCCGGTAACCCATCGGGTCTTGACGCCTCTGAGCTGTTGACCTTTGGCAAACGCTACTATGACGTCATCCAAAGGGTTTGGCACGTCATCACTTGTCGCAGACTTCACGCAACTTAACCAACCAATGACGAGCAGCAGTTGAGTTAATGTGTTGGCCATCTCTGCTCTAGTGGTAGCGTGAAGTAGATGTATAAATATGAGTGATTTTTATCTCGCGTCAGATGCCCGCTATTCAATGTGCACATTTGTTCATTCAACGAAAATGTTATCTTTCTATTTGGATCATTTAATTTAGTTTTCGTACGCTCTTCCTGAGCTGCTAATGAACTCTTGGGGTTTGACTGATTATAGCAACTTCTTCGAATGTGTGTATAATATGTTTTATTGTGTGTATGTGTGCGCACGTTCGGGGTTTGTGCGTGCGTGTGTGTTTTAGGCTAGTGTGTATGTGTGTGTGTGTATACGTGCACGTGTGTTGTTGTTTTTTATCTGTGTTAATTGTGTGATGTTTTTCTAAATATAAAAAAATTTTAGTAACTTTATTCCGTAGTGGTCACGTGGCTGAATCTTAAAGAGATAAGATGACTGAATAGCTCCAAGGGCCACCGGTCAAAATATAGGCTGGAGTTGTGTGGCCTTGGGGAGATGATTACATGTTGACGGTCCTCAATGTTTCATCAAAATTTTCTTTAAACAATCAAAATATTTTTTTTAACACTTTTATTTCATTTTTTCACAACAGTTTAGAATAGGCCTGAACAACTTACGGCCCAGAGGCTGCATGCGGCCCGCCAGCATCAACTTTGCGGCACGCGAAGGAGCCAAATATTCTTTATTCTTATTATTTTCTTAATAGCTTTCCACCTGTCCTGTTTTCTTCTGGCCCGCACAACTCCTGTCCTATTTTCTTTGGCCCGCACAAGTTTTTCGTAAAGTATTACGGCCCGCCTTATATTTTGAGTTGTGCAGGCCTGGTTTAGAGTCATTTCACTATGCTTCGAATTATTTTCTTCTGTCCCATATGCACATGTGATTGATGTGTGTGATTCAGGGATAATATGATTGGTGTGTGTGATTCAGGGATAATATGATCGGTGTGTGTGATTCAGGGATAATATGATTGGTGTGTGTGATTCAGGGATAATATGATTGGTGTGTGTGATTCAGGGATGATCTGATTTGTGTGTGTGATTCAGAGATGAATACAGCCAGTAAATTTACGGACAGCTAAGGCTCGTAAAAATTGCCATAAAATGTCCGTTGTAGTCGGTAACAAATTGAGAGAGTGAGAGAGAGAGCCAGAGACAGAGAAAGAGAGAGAGAGAGACAGAGAGAGAGACAGAGAGACAGAGAGAGGGAGACAGAGAGAGAGATAGAGAGACAGCGAGAGAGAGAGACAGAGAGAGAGAGACATAGAGAGAGAGACAGAGGGAGAGTGAGAGAGAGAGTGAGTGAGAGAGAGACAGAGAGAGAGTGAGTGAGAGAGACACAGAGAGAGAGACAGAGAGGGAGAGGGAGGGAGACAGAGAGAGAGAGACAGACAAAGAGTGAGAGAGAGAGAGTGAGAGAGAGAGTGAGAGAGAGAGTGAGAGAGAGAGAGAGAGACAGGGAGAGAGAGAGAGAGAGAGAGAGAGAGAGAGAATTGTCCATAAGACTTGTAAGGGAAAGAAACTGGATATAAAATAATTAGTGGGGATTTTGTTTTCTTTTTTGGGGGGAGAGAGAGAGAGAGAGAGAGAGAGAGAGAGAGAGAGAGAGAGAGAGAGAGAGAGAGAGAGAGAGAGAGAGAGAGAGAGAGAGAGAGAGAGAGAGAGAGAGAGAGAGAGAGAGAGAGAGAGAATTGTCCATAAGACTTTTAAGGGAAAGAAACTGGATTTAAAATAATTATTGGGGATTTTGTTTTCTTTTTCAAGTTTAAACTTGTATGATCATAATAGGACACAATTTAAAACAGATGAGAACGCATGGCTCCTATGCTATGAATAGGGTTGTACATAATTTAACATAAATTTATGTAGAGACGTTCAATGAAAGTCATGGACATTTTAAATTTTTCGCTTCATAGTTTTATCAAATTACATCTCTATAAAAATGTGTCCATACAAAATAGTTATGTCCGTAAAAAGCTTGAAAAAGTAAATAAATGTCTTAATAAATTTTAATCTTTTGAGTTGTTAACCCTTGTGTGATTAAGAAACCTGAATTGTTTTGTCCAGCATATCATGTGTGTCAATTGGAAATTATTTCGCATTATTATAAATTTAACATACGATTGATTCAGGACTCTGAAGGAAATTTTAAAAAGTGTTTATTAGAAAAACAAAAATAAAAAATTGTGATGAAATAATTTTTTTTTTCTATTTTGTCTTCCAAAAAGCAATCGAACTTTCAATGTATGGAAGTAGTGTTAAGAAATCACCTCGTAAAACAATCGAACTTTCAATGTATGGAAGTAGTGTTAAGAAATCACCTCGTAAAACAACCGAGCTTTCAATGTATGGAAGTAGTGTTAAGAAATCACCTCGTAAAACAATCGAACTTTCAATGTATGGAAGTAGTGTTAAGAAATCACCTCGTAAAACAATCGAACTTTCAATGTATGGAAGTAGTGTTAAGAAATCACCTCGTAAAACAATCGAACTTTAAATGTATGGAAGTAGTGTTAAGAAATCACCTCGTAAAACAATCGAACTTTCAATGTATGGAAGTAGTGTTAAGAAATCACCTCGTAAAACAATCGAACTTTCAATGTATGGAAGTAGTGTTAAGAAATCACCTCGTAAAACAATCGAACTTTCAATGTATGGAAGTAGTGTTAAGAAATCACCTCGTAAAACAATCGAACTTTCAATGTATGGAAGTAGTGTTAAGAAATCACCTCGTAAAACAATCGAACTTTCAATGTATGGAAGTAGTGTTAAGAAATCAAGAACGTAAAATATTTCTGAAAAATATATTGCCAACTGGTAAACATGGCGCCATTGTATATAATCTGATGGGGAGATAATGTGGTTTTGATTTTTCATCATCTTATTTATTTGAAGTTTCAATTTTTTATCATTCTTTTTGAGATACCGACCTTTCACAAAACGGAAGATAAATAAAGAGATAAATAGACTACTTTTAAATAAGGTTTCACCACCCATCAATCTGTGGACAATCGTGGATATTTTTACCAAATGTTCGGTAATCGGCCTTTTTTTTTTTTTTTTTTTTTTTTTTTTTTTTTTTTTTTTTTTTTTTTTTTTTTTATTAACTTTTTTTTTTTTTTTTTTTTTTTTTTTTGAACTGATTAAATGGGCTAATCAGCCTCCACAAAATAATCGCTTGATGTAAAATGTCCATCTAGAAAATGTAAATAAATATTGTATTTTTTAGGGGATTTCACAAGATTTTTAATAAATTAGGTATGCCCAAGAATTTGAGCATGCTATCATATATTTCGAGCGAGGTTATAACTGTTATCACCAAAGCCATCTAACTAGTTATACAACCACACTGACGTACTAACACAAACAATATTTTAGACTTTATTTCCGTACCCAAGGGTAGCTGCTGCAGTGACGTAAGATGTGTTGTGATGTTCTTTGAAAGGGTAAATATTATTATAGTGACTGTTATTTTGTTTTAAAAGGTTCCTATTTTCTTCTTATTTTTTTTTTAAAGTGTGTATAAAGTCAGTGGCGTCACTGTAAGACTTGAGGTAGTGCGGACTTTTAAAAAAAAAAGGGTGGTGGGGTCGTTGAGAGTTTAGATCAACTTAAAGACATGTATCATAGCAACTTTTCCATGCCTGAGGCTGGGGTATAGTACTAAATGTAGCAGCATCTTAGCTGGTTGGGCAACAGGCCAGGGAAAGCTTACCAAAAGTTTCTAGTACTAATTTTAGATTGACTTCATTCCGACCACGAAAAGATTAACACACTTTTTGTCTTCAGAAGACCGAATTTTAGCATTTTAATAATCCTTAGTATAAATAATTTGAAAAGAATAATATTGCTGTCTACCAATGGCACGTATCAGACGGTACAATTTCCACAGATGGCAGTTTCTCCCCCACAACTATTGCATGGACACTTGACTGAAGACATCCTTTGGTGTAAAGCATACTCCCACAACTATTGCATGGACTCTTGACTGAAGACATCCTTTGGTGTAAAGCATACTCCCACAACTATTGCATGGACTCTTGACTGAAGACATCCTTTGGTGTAAAGCATACTCCCACAACTATTGCATGGACTCTTGACTGAAGACATCCTTTGGTGTAAAGCATACTCCCACAACTATTGCATGGACTCTTGACTGAAGACATTGGGGAGGGAGGGGAAGAAAGAAGCAGCTGCTTTCAATATGAAATGGGAGTGGGAGATGAAACTCCCCCCCCCCCTTTTTTTCCCCCTGTAAGCTTTTGAATTTCTCCAGGTAACAGATTTAATAAGAAAATTACAAAGTGAAAGAGAAATTTTATTTTTTTTTATTTTATTTAATATAATTTTTTTTTTTGGCAACTGGATGCAATCACAAGGTAATAGGAAGAAAAACTCGTCCCCTAAATAACTCAAGGATTTTGTTGCTAGTCTTGTTGTTATGAACTGGATTTGGGAGCGTCATTGTTTAAGAAAGTTGTTGATCGTGAGACGGTGTGAGGTTTTGTGAGGGCGCGTTGTGCTTGGTCGGGGTATGCAAGGTCAGTAAACACGAGATATGATTAAATGATGTGTGGAAACAGGGTGCCAGGCTGTAGGTGGAGTCGGTTCATAGAGTTCAGTTCGTGGAGTTATTTTATTACAGTCGGTATGCTGAGTTATCGATGTGGGGGGGGGGTAGTGTGTTGAGTTATCGTTAGATTGTTTAGTATGTTGAGTTATCGTTATAGCGGTTAGTGTGTTGAGTTATCGCTTGAATGGTTTGTTTGTAGAGTTATCGCTAGAGGAGTGGTGTGCTAAGTCTGTTGGATCTTTGTATGTTAGACATTATTCGTGAATAAAAGAAGAAGAAAATCGGGCAGTGCGTTCAGTTGGGTCGTAATGAATTAATCATCTGTAACAAACAAACAACACAAAAATAGACATTTTTAGCCAAAGAAATACGCTCCCAAATCCAGTTCATATACCTATTATTAACTGTAAAATGACATCTGTTTCTGTACTGATGTGAACTGTCTCGTGCTGAAGTTAGGTTCCAAATACGTTCCCGATCAGTGGAGACTCTTCACAGATTCCAGCAAGGGGGAGCCTGAAAGGTGTTGCTGCATAATGCAATGAACTATCGCATTTTCATATAACTCACGCTGAAGGCCTTCTCAAATAAACACATGATTCATTAAAACTCCTTTTGAACGGGACTAACTGCTCGGCAACATCTCTACTGACTTTAAAGTGGTAGCACAACAT